GTCCACTTTTGACGGCACTTTTTTAAAACTTTCTATTGAGGAGCGACATTTTCGTCCAAATACAACCCCCTCCACCCCCACCCAAAAAAAATCGTGGGGAAAATCCTGGTTTTCCCCGAGTTCCACTAACCCTAGCTACGCCACTGACGGGAATACAAATTTGAATGGATAGATGACAATTTGAAAAGGCAAGGGTGAAAACTTCTGAGAGGCAGCTTAAAGGATAACTTAAAGAGGGGATTTTGTTTCCCGCGTGGGGAACATTAAACCTTAATACTTGACTACCTCTATACTCTTTTATTTAGGCTATGACTATTTGTTAACCACCAATATACACTTCCTTTTTTCTTTTTTTTTTTTTTTACCTCAAAAATGTCAAGATCATTTATCATTGGTAATCATATTTTTTTAAACATTGGAATATTTTTTTTTCTTTTATTACATTTTGATACCGGTAGTAGCTATTTTACATTTTTTTTTAAAGACACTCAACTTCATTTCACGCATGAACAATGTGATGTTGATGAACCCATTGTTTGCTCATCCCTATGTTGTTAATATGGATAGGTTATGTATAGGTGCTTATATGGGTACTACATTTCTGGGTTTTTGGTTTGCGCTGGGCAGGACATATTTAAAGGATGACGGATTGTAGAGCAGGAAAAGTGATATACAGACATAAGCCTGTAGGACCAGACGGCTCTCCCGTTGACCAAGACTGGGATTGATCGACGACGTAGAGAAGGCTTTACACCGGTTGGGGGTTCGCGCATGGAGACGGAAAGCCATGGCATGGATCGTTCCTAATGGAAGGGTGTGGTGGAGCAGGCCAGGGCCCTACATGGGCTTTAGCGCCAGTGATGATGATTATGGAATGCGTTCACTTAATTCAAATGATGAAAATTGCGAAAAATGAAAGTATACGCACGATTAAAACATGAACAAACACGGCACGATTGGCTCTGCTCATGAGATGAAGGCAGCTTCATATAATTTACAATTTCTCGATTTAATGTTTAAAAAAAAATGTAATTGGGCATGTCTTTTTGTGGGGAAAGGCCTGTCACAAATAGTGTCAGGTTCTTTGGAAAACAATGCAGTGGTCAATTGGTCGTTTACAGGGAGGTTTGTTTAGAAAAAAAATATCTTCAGTTTACCAAATTAATGGCCAGGGTGATTGACATCTGACCTCGGACTGAGTGATAGACATCTTGCCTAAGACAGAGTGATTGACATCTGGCCTCAGACTGAGTGATTGAAATCTGGCCTCAGACTGAGTGATTGAAATCTGGCCTCAGACTACCTTATTTCAAATAAGCTTTTTTTTTTTTTTTTTTTGCCCCTGAATCTTTGCTTTTCGGTTACAATCAAAAAATCTCAGGGATTTATTAGACATTTCACGTCTTTTACAACGGTCACTTGTTGGGTGATAACGTGTCAGTTCTTCTAAGTCTGTCCAGGTGTCAGAAGTTTGTTTTGATTTTATGATCTCAAAACTGACTACATTTAATATGTATGATATGAAAAAAAAATGTGACGACATTTCGTAAATTGCACATAAAATACATGTTCACATGTCACCACACATATCCCCTCTTTCCACCATCTCGTTAGTGAAAGACGGGTATTATATTTTTTAAATAAACATTAATATCTTAAATATACATTTAAAATGTAAACCATTTCTAACTTCTGTACCAATAAATAAAA